AAATAAAGTGGTCGAGGCGGAGGGGGCACTGGGCGGGCGCTGGAGCCGCGGGGGGGCGCTGAGACGGCGCCGCGGGGAGGGCGCGGGGGAGGGGGCGGAGCGGGGGGGGGTGCGGTGCGGTGCCGAAATAAAGTGGTCGGGGCGGAGGGGGCACTGGGCGGGCGCTGGAGCCGCGGGAGGGCGCTGAGACGGAGGGGGCGCATGATGATGATGATGTGATGATGATGATGATGGTGATGATGGTGGTGATGATGGTGAGGATGATGGTGATGATGATGATGATGATGATGATGATGATGATGATGATGATGATGATGATGATGATGATGATGATGATGATGATGATGATGATGATGATGATGATGATGATGATGATGATGATGATGATGGGATGATGATGATGATGATGATGATGATGAGGGGGGGGGGGTGCGGTGCCGAAATAAAGTGGTCGGAGCTCTAGACACCCTGTGCAAGAGAATAAAAAAAACAGTAAAACTAGTGGATCGTGCTTGGGGCCCGACGCTGCCAGGAGCGGGGTCGCCCGAGGCGCCTCGGGCAGCGCAACGGGGCTTCCTTGGGGCCGCCCGCACCCAGAGGCCCAAGGCCCCCACGAGGGACCCCATGGATGGGGGCCCTGGATGGAACGACATGCAGGGCCGTTTTTTTACCGGCTCCGTTCTGCCGTTTTTGTTGCCGGTTCCGACGCCGTTTTCTCACCAGTTCCGTTTTGCCGTTGTTTGACCGGTTCCGGCTCCGGCTCCAATCCTGGAGCCCTTTTTGTTGCTGTTTCCGGTCGCCGATTTTTGCCGTTCCCATTGTCAAGGGACATTTTTGGGGAAACGGTGAAAAAAACGGCCCTGCCGTTTCCGGGGCCCACAAAAAGGGGGAGGGCCAGCACCGAGGAGGGAAAAAGCTCCAGAACCGAGGCCGAGCCTACGTGCTGCAGGCTTTGGGCCTCTGGGGTATGCCCTCCAGCGGCGCCGTCTGCCATGCGGGCGGCAGGGGTGCCGCGGGTCTTCTCGTCGTACACGCAGATGCTGCGAGCGTACGAGCCTGCAGCGTACCGGTGGGGGGCCAGCGGCGTGCTCGCGACGGCGCCGATGATGCCCTTCTGACCTCAGGGAAGCCCACACCCTGGTCTCCCTCAGCGAATAAGCGCGGGACATAGTGACCCCGATCCGCGACTTCACGCACAGGAGGAGCCCAACTCAGGGTCGCCCGTCCTCGACGAGGGTACGCCCAAATGCCCCCTGGGGCTATCCCTGAGTGGGCTCTCCTTTCGGGCCGGGCGAAAGAGGGGGATAGCAAAGGGGGGGGTTGAGAATCAGCTCGCGTAGCTGATTTCCCCGGCGCCTCCCAGCGCCGGAGGCGCTCATGTATCGAGGAATGGGCCCCTCGGTGAGGCCGAAACCAGCTGCATGCAGCGAATTTCGTACCCCCCCCCTTTCCCAGTCCCCCCCTTTCGCCCGGCCCGACTCAGTCTTTCGCAGGCGAGCTCGGGGATTGGGTCGATAAATCGCCTGCGAACGGACACGTCGAGGGAGCCAGCGTAGGGACGAAACCATCGGGGCCAAATTGCCGAGCGCACTCGCTGCCCGCGTTGGGCGGGGTGCCCTGCAAGCAGACGTCGTCCCTTCCAGACACCATCTCCTCTCTCTTGGGCGTCGTCCCCGCCAGCGGGGTCAAAAAACAGTCAAGATGCAGGTCCGGCCGAACCTGGCGGAGCTACACGTCAGCAGACGCTCCTGCCCATAAACTGTGGCATGCACGCTGGCAAATAGGATCCTGCTCGCTTGTGCCCTTCGACCTTCCCAGATCAAAGTAGACCGGGTAACCTGGCCCGCGGGTTCAGATACCCTCCAAATGACGTTCTGGCTCTGCGCATGGCCCGGCAACGAGACTTGGGGAAAGGTCAAGCTCAGCTTACATCATCACGTAATCGGGTATCTTGCCTGTCTCGCGCGTTTTTTATTCGCCTCTTCTAGGTGCTGAAGACAACTGCAGCCCCTCGCAGCGCTTGGCGGCCATGACGCGACTTCGCATCTCGGCGAAGACTCGGAGGGGCCAGCATGAGATAACAGTTACTCGAGAAACAGACTCCTCTCTCTGGCCTCTAGCTCTCATGTCTTACCGCGCTTCCTAAGTGCACAGGTTTACTGGACGAGCACCTGGCTTCCCGCCGGTAAGTGCCCATCAACATCTACCTTCATTTCTCTCTCTCTCTCTCTCTCTCTCTTTGTCTCGCTCTCTCTCCTTCTCTCTCTCTCTCTCTCTCTCGCTCTCGCTCACGCTCCCACCCCGACGTGGACGCAGAAACTCGCACAGTACTGGAGCATGGACTGCAGATGCTAGAATGTGGCTGGCCGTAGCTGTTGAAGCCCTTGCCATTCCTGGCATTTTTGCCAGCAGGTCTGCTCAGCTTGGCAGCCAGACCTGCCACCCAGAGGCACGCCGATGCGATGCCATCGCAGAGTCAAAAAGACCGTGCCCCTCCCGC